TTTTGTTGTAAATAGTTTGGTGTTTTGTTGTAAATAGTTTGGTGTTTTGTTGTAAATAAATAGTTTGTAAATAGCTGTAAATAGATTTGTTGATACTTTTGTTTTGGGATTTTGGTGGAGAGCCTTTGTGGGGTTTGTTTTGTGTGTTTTTTTTTTCTTTGTTTTTATTTTTTTCGTGTTGCACTCCGGTTGCCTAGGCCGGGGTGTAACATGCAAAAATAGCCAATAGTTACAAAAAATGTGCTCAAGCCACCAGAAAAAACTGTAAAATCTGGATTCATGACTCTGTGTGTTCTTATGTAATTTTGCATGCCTCAGCCTTTTCTCCCTGCTTCCCTTTGTTCAGAAAGGCTTCTTTACAGCCAAACTGTTATCTTTGGCATTTCTCACAGATTTAGATAAAGAAATGGGAAGAAAGAAAGGGGGTCTGTAACAAGAGAAATCATTTTTTTTGCTAAAATGTTTGTTATCTGTAGCCATATCACTGGTTCATCCCTTGAGATAGGTCCCTTTTTATGCTTGAATGATTCATAAGTCAGTGTTAAGTGGCTTAACAAACAAAGACAAAAACCCCTAACACTGGTCAAGTACAAGGAGTGGGCTGTAAATGAGAGAAAAAGCCTCCTATGTCCAAACAGAAACTTTGAAAGACCTTCATAAAACCTTGAGAACTATTGCTCAAGACAACTTAAAACATTACAAGAAACTCTGACTTCCAAGTAGTCAGACTTTATTTGGAAGTAGCCACTTCTACAAACAAACAATACAGAAGTAGACCTTTATGCCTCAGAATCAACACCTTGTTAAAAACTCAGACTATACCCTCGACTCCACTCTGTTTCATCCATGTCTACCTATAGCATTTTAAGGTTTGGAACTTTTCTCTAGGATTAAAATCTACACTGTCATGTTCCTGGTCCCAGTCCTACCTTGCATCCTATTTGCTCTTTTCACCTCCTCTAAATCCCTGAGAGAGGGCTCAAATTAAATTAGGTTTTAGTGAGGTTACATCAGCACCAGGCACTCAATGTATTATGTAGTACTAGTTCTCGGTTTAGCTGGGACAGAGCAAAGAGTACGGAGGGGAGGACAGAATGAAAGAGACACATGGGACAGAGGACAGGACAGAAAGACAGGAAGGAGAGGTGAAAGTGGGATGTACGCACTGTTCCACTCTGTTGCTTAGCAACACGTGCTTGCTGTCTGTTCTCATCTTTACTGTGGGCACATTTACTCTTGCAGTGAACTGGTTTCCAGCCATGACATGACGCCCTGTGAGGCTGGGAATGAGGAAAAGATGGAAACTGGATTGGACAGACTGGCTCCTTTAAATATGCAAATAACTGAAGGCAAA